TTAAGGAACTGTGTCATGATGTCCTAGGGCCTGGAAATCCCTCTCCCAAGCACCTTCCTCCTAACTCTTCACTCTGTCCTGCAAGGATATCCTGCTCCATCTCCCCCGCAGGGGGCAGCACAAATGGTTCCTCATCCACATTGATCTGCAGGCCCCCATCTGCCTCCTCCTCCTTTGAGGGGCCGGACTCAGGGGTCACTTCTTCCTCCTCGTCCTCCGTCTCCTCTTCACTCCACTGGACCCTAGAAACAGGTCCAAGAACAGAGTGATTCACAGACCAAAACAGACACCTCCTCCTTCCACACAGCTTCCCCACCCTAGCCGCTGCCTATGCTCCATCCCAGTAGCTTCCAAAACTCACCCAGCAGCAGCTTCCCGGACCTTCTGCTTCCGAGCAGCTCTTTCAATGGGCAGCAGCTGAAGAGACACAAGGGCTGTTAATACAGGCCTGCCCTTCCATCAGCCCTTGTAGCACTTTCTATCTCTGTATCTTATTTTCTCGCTAAATAAAAATCCAACACTTGCTCTCAGAAGGAAATAGAGGAGCAAAGAAACGAAGATAAAATTGGCACAATATTGATCACTGTTGAAACTAAGTAATGAGGGCATGGTGGTGCACGCCTGTAAATCCCAGCTACTCAGGAAGCTGAGGCAGGAGAATTGCTTGAACCCGGAAGGTGGAGGTTGCAGTGAGCCAAGATCGAGCCACTGCACTCCAGCCTGGGCAACAGAACAAGACTCCATCTCAAAAACAAAACAAAACAAAACAAAAACCAAGTAATGAATTAAAGGGTTCATTACATTTTTCTTTCTACTATTATGTGTTTTTCACTTTTCCATTAAGAAAAAAAAAAAACTTGAAAAATACCTGCACATATAAAGGACAAAAATTGCCCTTGACTACCATTTTGCCATATTTTTTTTAGAGAAGTCTTGCTCTTGTCCCCCCAGGCTGGAGTGCAATGGCACAATCTTGGCTCACTGCAACCTCTGCCTCCCAGGTTCAAACGATTCTCCTGCCTCAACCTTCCAAGTAGCTGGGATTGTAGGCATGCACTACCATGCCCAGCTAATTTTTTGTATTTTTAGCAGAGACGGGGTTTCACCATGTTGGCCAGGCTGGTCTCGAACTCCTGACCTCAGGTGATTTGCCCACTCAGCCTCCCAAAGTGCTGGGACTAAAGGTGTGAGCCACCACGCCTGGCCCATTTTGCTATTTCTTTTTTAGAGTTACTCTGTATTTTTCACATAATCCATTTTCAAGTTTGTTTCTTGCTTTTTAGACTTCAGTTAAATCACAGGCATTTTCATAGACACAATGACCAGTGTTAACTGCATCATATGCATGAACCATAACTTAAACATATTGTATATTTTGGAAGTTTCCAGAGTTTTTGGCATTATGATCCACATGGTGCCTGCAAACCTAATAATGACCCTATAGATACAAAGGGATGGAAGAAAGGGGTGCACATGGGGACTTTCTCTTTTTTTTATACACGATTCTAATAATACATCTACATACTAATTGTATAATAATTTCCTGCACCTCAGTAAAGAACTATTTGCTGATGTTTTGGATCATCTTCCTTAATAGGGAATTACTATGTCAAAAGGAAGAAGTTTTTGTTTTTTTTTTTGAGACAGTCTCACTCTGTCACCCAGGCTGGAGTGCAGTGGTAAGATCACAGCTCACTGCAGCCTCAACCTCCCAAGCTCCAGTCATCTTCCTGCCTCAGCATCCTGAGTAGCTGGGACTACAGGCGTACGCCACCACACCCAGCTAATTTTTAAACAATTTTTTTAACTTTTTTTAAAATTTTTTTTGAGACAGAGTCTCACTTTGTTGCCCAGGCTGGAGTGCAATGGCACGATCTCGGCTCACTGCAACCTCCGCCTCCTAGGTTCAAGCGATTCTCCTGCCTCAGCCTCCCGGGTAGCTAGGAGTAGCTAGGATTACAGGTGCACACCACCACACCAGCTAATTTTTGTATTTTTAGTAGAGATGGGGTTTTGCCATGTTGTCCAGGCTGGTCTCCAACTCCTGAGCTCAGGTGATCCGCTCACCTCGGCCTCCCAAGTGCCAGGATTATAGGCGTGAGCCACTGCACCCAGCCAATTTTTAAATTTTTTGTAGAGACGGTATCTCCCTGTGTTGCTCAAGCTGGTCTCCAACTCCTAGGCTCAAGCAATTCTCCTGCCTCAGCCTCCCAAAGTGCTGGGATTACAAACGTGAGCCACCATACCCAGCCAAAAGGAACAAATATTTCACAGTTCTGAGATAACTGCTTTATAAAAAGTGCATTTCTGTTCCCATCAGTGGAGCACACCATTGTCCACCTTCCCACATCCACACCAAGAGAGCCTTCTAGATTTTTTAAAATGCTCTATCCTACAGCTCCTTCAAACTTGTAGGTGCACTGGGAGAGGATATAAGGCAGTAGGGAAACAGTGATGGAGCACAAAAACCCCTTTCCTCTAGTCAGGCTTATCCTTGCCACTAAGAAACAGTCTCAAGAATCTGGAAAGAAACTAAATAGCAAGGATCCTTCTCTGAATGCCCAGAGATGAATCTCACCTCTTCACCTTCCTCCTCATCCTCAGAGTTGGAGTCAGCTCCATAGTCATCTACCATATCAGCATCATCCTCGGAGCCCCAGAGGTCCCCCTGGTTCACATCATCATCTTCTTCAGAGTCTTCCTCCTCCTCTTCCTCATCACTGCTAGGCGCTGGGCGCTTCTTGCCTTGAGCAGCATTAAATAGGGACTGGGGTCCCTTCTTACCAGCTGTCTGGACAGCTCCTGCAAAGATCCCTAAGGGTTTGACGAGTCCTGGACTAATGGCAGCCACACATTCCCGGGCCCCACACCCTGGGGAGCCTGTACTTTCTACCCCTCAGAATGTCCTCTGGCTGTTCCTTTCATTCCAGAAATGTTTAGCAAGTCCTTCCCTACCCAGGACCCAGAGGACTCCTCATGTAGCATCCAGCTCTTAGTTTCACTGACCTTTTGGTAGCTTTCCAGGCAATGGTTTGGCCTCAGGGGACTTATTTGTCTTAGGGACTTCAGCAGAGCCCAGCCTCCTCTTGGCTGCCCTGAAAAGACACAAGAGATTCAAGGAGTAAAGAAACGAAAAGATATTTCCAGGCTCTGCCATTTCCACCATAGGGAAAAGTGAGAGTCCAGAATTAATTCTGTGGTCAAAGATAAGCAGTACCAATTAAGTCCTGACACCCACACTTACCTCTTTCGAGCACGACTAGACAGCCTCTTGGAATTTTCGTCACTTACTGTTTGAAAAAGAAAAACGAGGCAGAACAAGTTACACGGGACACTGAAAATAAATGGGAATGGAAATAAACATGGTAAGAGAATTAGTACACTAATTAAAAGGAGTCCATTTAAATCTCAGCCCTGTCATTATTTAATAATTGTATATGAGTTTCTTTTTTTTTTGAAATGGAGTTTCACTCTTGGTCTTCCAGGCTGGAGTGGTGCAATGGCGTGATCTCAGCTCACTGCAACCTCCGTCTCCCAGGTTCAAGCGATTCTATTGCCTCAGCCTCCCACCACCACACCCAACTAATTTTTGTATTTTTAGTAGAGACACGGTTTCACCATGTTGGCCAGGCTGGTCTTGAACACCGGACCTCAGGTGATCCACCTGCCTCGGCCTCCCAAAGTGCTGGGATTACAGACGTGAGCCACTGAGCCTGGCTATATGAGTTTCTTAACCTCTCCGCATCCATTTCCTTAATAGTGCCTCTCTCACAGGGCTCTAAGATGATGAAGTGACATAACAAGACCAACAAGTTCAACATAGTGCCCAGGACTTGCTACTATCTCAATAAACTGCATCCTTTATCCAAAGCCCAACACAAACTCCAGGTCCTGTGTTATCTCCCACCAGTCTTCCACACAGTAGACTACTACTTGGCATGGAGAAGCCGGATCCGTGCTTTTCCATTTCCATTCCTTCCAAAAAATCAATGACTGACCCCTCCCCTTCACTACTTCCTCTTGGTACAACTTAACCCATTTTTCAAAACCCAGCTTAACATGCAGTTCTGCATGGGATCCCCCTTCCTCTGAACTCACAATGTTTTAAATCACACCTTTTCTTGCATGAATAGTTGTGTCCGTGTCCTCACATCTCTACGACCTAAACAGTTCCCTACAATCTAAACGACAGTGTTTCATTCATACCTCCTAGTAACTAATACATAGAAGATTCCACTTAAATAGAAAATGAACAAACACTAAAAAAGAGAAGAGGTTATGATACAGAATACTGCAAAAGCTGAGGGATCAGGAGACCACAACTAATCCTTACCTGCAGGCAAGAATCTGGCGAGTTCTGTCTCGGCGCCCTTCTGCTTCCGGGCCTTTCGGCCTGGCCCCCGCTTCTCCTTCTTTGTAGGGTCCAATTTGCGCCCCATGGTACTATGGCAGACAGAAATGTGAGAAGGTGGCGTCGCGCGTGCCGGAGGAAACGGCAGAACGCAGGCTTGGCGTACTATAGTGGGAAAGGGGACAAGCTCAACTCAGCACCCGCAACTCACTCAGCACCCCCGACTCACTCAGCACCCGCGACTCAAGTACCCCCGCTATCCCCCTGGAGGCCGACCGAACGCCCTCCCACCCTGAAACCCAGGTAGTGCACTCCTCTCCCCACGTCCCAGACCAGGTCAGGGCTGCCACCCTTCGTCCCCCAATTTCCTCTAGACCCACCAGAATGCGGGTTAAGGCCCGAAACTGCCCTTGGGGCCGCGCTCCACGTGCACTCCGCAGCTAGCTTTCGGCCGCCACTCGCCACAGAGTCCTTCCACGCAGGCGCAAGGGTAACGCTAGCCTCGCGGCCCCGCCTCTTCCTGTTGCGCCCAGTCGGACGCCGCACCCGGAACTTACGCTCGACCAGGGAACGCCAGCGGAGCCGGCGGCGGCGAGTAGGGGGAAATTGGAAGGAGCCGCGCAGCTTACACCCGCGGCTGGTGGAGGGAGCATTGTGACGAGAAACCGCTGAGCGTGACCGCCCTTCCCTCAAGGAGTTGGCTTTTAGCCTCACGGCCGGTTTCTGTTGGAAAAGCTGGTGCGTGAAAGCCGCACCCTCTCCTCGAACCAGGGCCCGACAGCGGGGCCCTCTCTCTGGCATCCACTGCCCTAGTCGAGCTTCGAGATAACGGAATTCCAGGCTGGGCACCGTGGCTCACGCCTGTAATCCCAGCACTTTGGGAGGCTGAGGTGGGTGGATCACCTGAGGTCAGGAGTTCGAGACCAGCCGGGCCAACACGTTGAAACCCCGTCTCTACTAAAAACACAAAATTAGCTGGGCGTGGTGGCGGGCGCCTATAATGCCAGCTATTCGGGAGGCTGAGGCAGAATTGCTTGAGCCCGGGAGGCAGAGGTTGCAGTGAGCCCAGATCGTGCCACTTCAGCCTGAGCAAGAGCGAAACTCCACCTCAAAAAACCCCACAAAAAACAGCCGGGCGCGGTGGCTCACGCCTGTAATCCCAGCACTCTGGGAGGCCGAGGCGGGCGGATCAGGAGGTCAAGAAATCGAGACCATCCTGGCCAACATGGTGAAACCTGTCAAAAATACAAAAACTAGCTGGGCGTGGTGGCGCACGCCTTTAGTCCCAGCTACTCGGGAAGCTGAGGCAGGAGAATCACTTGAACCTGGGAGGCAGAAGTTGCAGTGAGCTGAGATGGCGCCACTGTACTCCAGCCTGGCGACAGAGCAAGACTCCATCTCAAAAAAAAAAAAAATCATGGAATTCCATGCCACTCAACTCCTACTCCCAGCCCCCGCCCCTTTTTAAAAAATCTTTTTATAGAGACGGGGTCTAGGGGGTAGGGTCTCACTATGTTGCCAGGGCTGCTCTAGAACTCCTGGGCTTAATCGCTCCTCCTGCCCCCAACCTTTGTGCTGAGATTACAGGCTGTGAGGCACCGTGCCCGAACCTCCCAGCACCTTCCTTGATGCTCACTCCTGCTCAGCCCCTCAGTTAAGGGGCTGCACTACACCTGGTCCGCAGGAGGCCTCGGCCGGAACTCGCTTTCAGGTGAGTCTACAATTAGTTGGGAAACAACGGGTTGCAACGCCGACCTGGTCTGGGACATGAAGAGGGGTGAACTACCAGGGTTTCAAGGTTGGAGGGGCGTTAGGTCGGGTCTCCGGGGGCGTGGGGTTGAGGCTGGGTTATTCCACAAATTGCATCCCAATTTTGCACAACTGAGCAAGAAAACCCTCCTCAGCCTTCCTTGAAACTAACATTAAGGTAGTGGTTAGGTGTTAAAAACTGTTCCATGTACTTGACTGGTTTTACTTGACAACCGTATGAGGTTGTCAAGTAAATACATGAGAAACCTGCATCCCACAGAAGTTAAACTTGCTCAAGGCCATTGTGGTACTTGGAGTTTTGCAGCCTCTCATTTTCCACAGGTGGAAGTCATCGCTGGCCAGGCACACACTGCACACCCACACAGAACCCAGTTCTTCAGTGGAGTATCAGCACACCACATAGCCCTTAATTTTCAACTATACAGGTGCCAGGCTCCTGCTGCACACACTCATCCACCTGCACCTACACCCACACTGAACCAGAGCACTAAAATACAAGGAAACTTTTATTTTCAATTTTCATCAAGAAATTTGCTGTGGTTTTTTATGCTTTTGGTTTTTTTTTTTTTTTTCCACTTTATTTCATTTAGCCGCTCAGTGGCTAGAGCCGCTGGGTTCCTGGTATTAAAAAGATGCCAACAGAGGTAGCTGTGTCTCGCCCAGGGGCCCAGCCCACTCTGAATACCCCCAAAAAAGGAGAAAACACAAAATAAACCAACAAAATAAAACCAAAAGGAGGAAAAAATTCAGATCATTTTCTTCAAGCCTGGCAGGAACCCACAACAGTTTGTGTGTAACAGGCGTTACAGTGGGGAGAAGCCAGGGTCCAGAAGGCCAGCCCGCCAGCTCCTGCAGATGGCGCCGGCGCTACTGCTGCATGTCTCTCCTGCAGGAAGGGCACCACTGCCCCTCACTCCCTCCCCTCCCCCAGTGCGCTGGGGCTGTTCCTTTACAACGTGGAAGATGGGCAGAAGGAAGGTGAGGGTCTCTCAGGCCCCCCGGGGAGAAGCTGGGACAAGAGAAAGTGAGGAAGGTCACTGCTCAGCGGTGGAGGTGGTATCAGTCTGCATCTTCACTGCTGCTGGGCTACCTAGAGAAGGAGACCCAAGGAGTCAGAATTCCAGATGATAGGAATCCACCCAATCTCAAGGGAATTCACTGACAGCCTACCCACCCAGTATGTAAAGCTAGGGACATACAACAAAGTTACAAGCTCCAGAATGGTTCTGCAGGAAGAGGTGGTGTCAAGAAGAAAATGGTCCTACCTGCTGTGGGGTAGGTTCGGGTGCCCGGTTTGCCAGACGGCTGAGAATGTTACGCTCTGACATCTGTAACCTCACAGCAACTGGGGGAATTCGGGCAATGGTAGCTGGGAGTCGAGTCACATCGGCTTTCATGTCACTCAGCAGTTCTTCCAGCTGTTTCAGAACTGCAAAGGGAGAAAAAGAGGTGGTGAGCTGTGGTGGCCAAGACTGAGCTCCCTCTACCCTAGTGGACCAGCATCACTTCTCAGTGACCAAGTGACTGTGATGTGTTATCTTCTGTCACCTAACCTGACCTCCACCATGTTCAAATTCCTGCTCCTCATATTCCAGTTCCAACTGTTCATGATTTTGTGCTCTTAAAAGTCACCTAAACCTTCACTATCCCTTACTATTATTGTATTTCCTCTTCTTGAGAAGCTTATTCTTGTTTTTTCCCTTCTCTACCTTCAGAATCTGTCTCCCACCTCCATTATAACAGCATTCTTTTCCTTATTTCACCCTCCGCCTCCTCATAACCTTTTACTTTAATTAGAAACAAAACGCTGAAAGGGGTCTAGAATTTGAAGGGATCTTTTATCACCTGAAGTTACCTCTAAAGTATCCCAAATGACACTATATTATTCTGCTTTGCTTTCCATCTCAAGAACCTGAATATATTTAAAGTTAAAAGAGGTGGGGCCGGGCGTGGTGGCTCATGCCTGTAATCCCAGCACTTTGGGAGGCAGAGGCAGGTGGATCATCTGAGGTCAGGAGTTCGAGACCGGCCTGGCCAACGTGGTGAAACCCCATCTCTACTAAAAATACAAAAAATCAGCCGGGCATGGTGGCGGGCGCCTGTAATCCCAGCAACTTAGGAAGCTGAGGCAGAAGAATCGCTTGAACCCGGGAGGCGGAGGTTGTGGTGAACTGAGATCACGCCATTGCACTCCAGCCTGGGCAACAAGAGCAAAACTCCATCTCAAAAAACAAACAAAAAAACAAAATTAGCAGGGCATGGTGGTGCATGCCTGTAATCCCAGCTACTCAGGAGGCTGAGGCAGGAGAATCGCTTGAACCTGGGAGGCAAAGGTTGCAGTGAGCCGAGATCACGCCACTGCACTCCAGCCTGGGCAACAAGAGCAAAACTCCGACTCAAAAAAAAAAAAAAAAAAAAGGTGGCCAGGGTGGGGCACGGTGGCTCACGCCTATAATGCCAGCACTTTGGGAGGCAGAGGCAGGTAGACCACTTGAAGTCAGTTTGAGACCAGCTTTGCCAACATGGTAAAACCCCATCTCTACTAAAAATACAAAAACTAGCCACAAGTGGTGGCGCATGCCTATAGTTCCAGCTGCTCGGAAGGCTGAGGCAGGATAATTGCTTGAACCCAGGAGGCAGAGGCTGCAGTGGGCCAAGATCACGCCATTGCACTCCAGCCTGGGCAACAGAGCTAGACTCCATCTCAAAAAGAAAAAAAAAAGGTGGCCGGGTACAGTGGCACATATTTGTAGTTCCAGCTACTCAGGAGGCTGAGGCAAGAGGATCACTTGAGTCCAGGAGTTCAAGACCCACCCGGGGAAAATGTTGAGAACCCATCTCTTTTTTTTTTTTCCGGAGTCTCACTGTGTTGCCCAGGCTGATAGCCAGTGCAATGGCACGATCTTGGTTTACTGCAAACTCCACCTCCTGGTTTCAAGCGATTCTCTTGCCTCAGCCTCCTGAGCAGCTAGGATTACAGGCATGTGCCACATGCCCAGCTAATTTTGCTATTTTTAGTAGAGACGGGGTTTCACCATGTTGGCCAGGCTGGTCTCGAACTCCTAACCTCGTGATCCACCCACCTTGGCCTCCCAAAGTGCCGAGATTACAGACGTCAGCCACCGCGCCCAGCCAAGAGCCCACCTCTTAAAAAAAAAAAAAAAAAGAGGCAAAACTACTGTCCTTGATTGCCTCTAACATATTAACTCCCCAAGGATGGCAAAGGTCCCTACCAACTCCTAAACTCCCAAAGGAGCTCTGAAAAAGGTTTGAAAACAAATATATGTACATTGGGATGCAGTTAGATGAGGGAGGAGGCCTAATCAGCAGGAGGCAGGGGAGCCACTGGCTACCTTTGTGCAGGACTGCATTGGCTGGCTTGTTTCCTGCCATTGACTCCTTGGACAGGTGCTGATGACTTTCCGCCAAACACTCCACCTCAGCAAAGCGGGTGTTGAGGGCCATGGAAGGGTGAGAAGGGTCTTCTGACATGTTCAAGTAAGCAGCCCGGCGCAGCTGTTCCTCAATCACCAGAGCTTGTTCTAAGAGCTGGACAAGGGATAAGAGGAAACGGGAGTTCGACTGATAACTCACTTTGCTTACTTCTGACTGACCTCTCAGCTCACCTCTCATTGTTTCTGATAGTAATAAGAACCTATAAATAACTTCATGGACAGCTCATTCCCACACCCAAGCAGTTTAACTTTGCCTTGTATCTTTTTTCTTTCCCTTTTTCAATGTCCTCGTTTTTAAAACTCTTTACCCTTTAGGTTCTCTTATACAAAAGCAATAAAAACTCAATTTAGAAAATAGAATACCAAAAATTAACAACAGATGATCCCACCTTCTAGAAATATATCCTGATGTTTTTCTTTTTAGGTTTTTTTGTGCATAGTTTTTTACATAACTGAGATCATACTATATACATATCCATATTATGTTTTCATTTAGTTACACAGTTAAACATTTTCCTTTTTATCATCTCCTCTTTATCAACTACTCTTCAAAAACACGTTTTGGCTGGGCACAGTGGCTCACACCTGTAATCCCAGCACTTTGGGAGGCTGAGATGGGCAGATCACTTGAGGTCAGGAGTTCAAGACCAGCCTGGCCAACATGACAAAACCCCATCTCTACTAAACACACAAAAATTAGCAAGGTATGGTAGTGCACACCTGTAACTGCTGCTGCTCAAGAGGTTGAGGCAGAAGAATGCTTGAACCCGGGAGGCAAAGGTTGCAGTGAGCTGGGATCATGCCACTGCACTCCAGCCTGAATGACAGAGGGAAACTCTGTCTCAAAAAAACAGGGTTATTTTGCTATTTTAAAATATTTTTGTTTTTTATTTCCTCTTATCGCCATCTCACTTCCATTCCTCTGAAAAGCAACCTTTCTAATATAGTAATACTGTGGCTTTTTGTGTAGGTTTTAAAAGACTGTGTTGTTTCATATGTATGTTTCTAAGTTACAGAATGATGTTTTCTGTACCTATAAAATGCTTTTTTTCTCCCACTACATACTTTTTAAAAGGTACACTTATGTTGTATGCACATGAATTTTGTTGCTTCTGTTGTTTAATGCCCCATAATATGAATACATGTTTTACCTATGCATTCTCCTAATACTGAACATTTAGGTTGCCTCTAGGCCCCCATCACCAAAAATCATACTGCAGAAACACTCATGCATATGTCACCTGATGGAGCTGTATTAAAGGTTCTCTGAAATATATCCCAAGAGGCAGAATGTTGGTTCTTAATTTATGAAAAGATTTTAATTACTTAAAAAATATATTCATAAAACCTATGACTCAACATATGAGATTTCTCATACCCTTCTCCTCTCCTAGTGTCAGCCAGCACTTCTATGCAGATGATTTGATGCTTCTCAAACATGTACCTTGAGCACTGGTTCTGATCCCGCTAGTGTATGGTGATGCTGGTAGGTAGTGGGAGGGGTGCTGATTTGTGAGAAATACCAAAAGACTTGTCTAAAATTCAGTATCATTCTTTTCTACAAACTGCTTGCTCTCTTCTTAAATGACAATTCACCTTTCTCAGTGACTCAGGCTCAAAATGTTATTTTCAGTCTCTTTCACTCTGTACCTCAAATCCAGTAAGTCAGAAGTTGGCGAGCTACAGTCTGTGGGCCAGCTCTGCCCCACCACCTGTTTTTATATGGCTGAAGAGCTAAGAATGGGTTTTACATTTTAAAATGGTTGGCAAAAAGTCAAAACAAGACTATTTCATGCCACTTAATGAGAATTATACAAAATTCAAATTGTAATATCCATAGATGAAATGCTGAAATACATCCTAACTTATTCGTTTATGTATCCCCTGTGGCTGCTTTCACACAACGAAGACGGAGTTAAGTATGTACAACAGAGACCACATGTCCCACAAAGCCTGAAGCCTATCTGGCCCTTTAATAGAAAAGGTTTGGTTGGGTGCAGTGGCTCACGCCTGTAATCCCAGCACTCTGGGAGGACAAGGCAGGCAGGTCACCTGAGGTCCAGAATTTGAGACCAGCCTGGCCAATATGGCAAAACCCCATCTCTACTAAAAACACAAAAATTAGCCAGGCATGGTGGTACATGCCTGTAATCCCACCTACTCAGGAGGCTGAGGTAGGAGAACTGGTTGAACCCGGGAGGCGGAGGTTGCAAGTGAGCTGGGAGATGTCACCACTGCACTCCAGCCTGGGCAACAAAGCGAGACTGTCTCCAAAAAAAAAAAAGGGGGGTTTTTATTAACCATTTTTGGTTTGCGGAAGGGTAAAAAGGTTTACTGACCCCTACAATAAGTCACTAAGTTCAGTAAATTCTTTGGTGTTTTGTTTCCTTTATCTTTACCCTTTTCATTTTCCACAACCAGCATCACAGCCCAGACCCTTAACACCTCATGATTATATGATAGTTTTATAATCTTATGAATGCTGTTTCCATTTCCCTTGGTCCTATCAAAACTCTGCTCACAAACTTTCAGTGGCTGCCCATTAACAACAGGGTAAAGTCCAAACTCTCGTATCTGGTGCCAAGAACCCACCTACTGACCTCTAGCTCTTCTACCTTTCTCTTTCCAACCTACCTCCCAACCATCACCCAACACAAATGTTTCCCTACAGCTCAACTGGGCTATTTGCTGTTTCCAGACATACTAAACTTTGCTGCCTCATGTCTTTGCCCAACCTAATCCCTTTGTTCAGATACTCTTCTGTTCCTACCAAAAAATCTCCATCGCATTCCTCAAAACTTTATTCCAATGCCATCTTCTCCATAAAGCCACTTGTGAGTTCCCTCCCTACTCCAATTCCTCTGAAGAACTTTTTTTTTTTTTTAAAGACAGGGTCTCGGATGACGCAGTGGCTCAGGCCTGTAATCTCAGCACTTTGGGAGGCCAAGGCGGGCAGATCACGAGGTCAAGGGATCGAGACCATCCTGGCCAACATGCTAAAACCCCGTCTCTACTAAAAATACAAAAATTAGAGGCTGAGGCAGGGGAATTACTTGAACCCAGGAAGCAGAGGTTGCAGTGAGCAGAGATCACACCACTGTACTCCAGCCTGGCAACACATCAAGACTCTGTCTCAAAAAAAAAAAAAAAAAGCGTCTTACTCTAATGCCTAGGCTGGAGTGCAGTGACACAATCTAGGCTCACTGCAGCCTCCCGAGTAGCTGGAACTACAGGTGCACGCCACCAGAATTGGCGAATTTTTGTATTTTCTGTAGACGTGGCATTTTGCCATGTTGCCCAAGCTGGTCTCGAACTCCTGGACTCAAGCAATCAGTTCTTTTAAAATGCTGGGATTAGCCACTGTGTCTGCCTCTCTGAGACCTTTTTCTTTTCTCTTCTTTTTTGAGATGAGTCTCGCTCTGTTGCCAGACTGGAGTGCAGTGGTGGGATCTCGGCTCACTGCAACCTCCGCCTCCCGGGTTCAAGCAATTCTGGAGAACTTTCTTATGCCAATCAGCAATCTCTCTCCTGATATGCAGAATGGCATTCATTTGATTACACATGTGCTCCTACTTGAAACTGAAAGCTCCTTGAAAACAGATACCATGCTTTGTCTCTTTATCCCTGGGCACATCATTGCTTAGTACATAATACTTGAAGGCTTATTAGTGTGCATTTCTTCCCCGATTATACTCAGCGTATGAGACAACAAACATGTCTTTTTCTTTTTCTTTTTCCTTTTTTTGAGACAGAGTCTCACTCTGTTGCACAGGCTGGAGTGCCATGGCACAATCTTAGCTCAATGAAATCTCCACCTCCCGGCTTCAAGCGATTCTCATGCATCATCCTCCCAAAGTGCTGAGATTACAGGCATGAACCACTGCGCCTGGCCCACACAGCTACTCTTCAGCCCAGAAAAAGAGGCCAGGCACAGTGGCTCACGCCTGTAATCCCAGCAATCTGGGTGGCCAAGGCAGGTGGATCACTTGAGGTCAGGAGTTTGAGACCAGCCTAGCAACATGGTGAAACCCCATCTCTACTAAAAATACTAAAAACAGCTGGGTGTGGTAGCGGGCGCCTGTAACCCCAGCTACTCAGGAGGCTGAGGCAGGAGAATCACTTGAACCCAGGACACAGAGGTGGCAGTGAGAAGAGACTGCATCATTGCATTCCACCCTGGATGACAGAGACTGTCTCAAAAAAAAAAAAAACCAGCAGCCCACTGACTGATACAGCTCTACCTCTTCAGAGATGCAATTCAATCCCACCTCTGTATCTTTCCTGAATACTCCAATCTACAGTGTTCCCCAAACAAACCCCTCTGCACTAGTGTCGCTCATTGGACCATAGTCACCTACAGCTCATGTACAGTTAGTTAACTTTCAAGTCTGTGTGTCTTCAACCCTAATGTGTAAGTTACTTGGAACCAAAGCCTTCCATAGAATGAAGAAAGTGAGAACGGTGCACTGGATGGACAGACTCCCTCCGCACTTAAGCAATCAATATATTCCTTCCCAACCGCTCACCTTAAACCTTCGAGCTAGAAATTTATTCTTGATCTCTAAGAAATTGCCACGGTTCATTTCACCCTTGAAAGGCTCATTGAGGATGGCATAGCGTGGGTCATTCTGGATGTCTTGCCACCGGGCATAGCCATGGCTATTGGAAAAGTGCTCAGGAAAAACAAAACAAGAAAAGTAAAAACCTCAAACTAAGAGACCTTCAGAACCTTTCACCAAAAGCCTCAGTCCAGATTCAGGCAAAGGATACTTTATGATGCCGGCTAGCAGCCAGTAGTCATGCCGTCGATGCCAGATCTCATAAGTCTTCTTGGTAACTGTGGCTGCCCGCTCTTCATTCTGCCAAAGGGAGTGCAACTCTAAGGAGGAATTTAGGGAAGGTGGGGGGGGGGCGGGAAGCAAACATCTGTGAGAATTGAAAATGCTACTTATTCTTGTCCCCCACCATCCCCCATCCCTGGATCCATCTTTATATAATTTGCTTCTGGCTTTCTCCACAGAACCCAGGGGAGTACACTATCAGTTTGGCATTCCCTCATCGAACAGAGGTAAAGTCCCTGTACCACAGTTTCTGACAAGAACCCCAATTTCACATCCGATCCTTCTAACCCTGGTGGGCCCCTCATTTCCATACCAGTAAAACCACCATCTGCAATGTTGAACATGAAACGCTGTTTAATATTTTTCTTCTGTTTCTCATCATTCAGGTCCTTGGGGGTCTCTCCATTCTGAAGCATCACCTCTTTTTTCTCTTCTTCTTCTTTCTTCTCTTCTACAGAATATAAGGAAGAAAAATGTCGGTTCCAGCCAAAGCCCAGCACCCATCGCCCTTACCCAGAACACTGTATGCTACAAGAATCCATCCACCTCCACCCCACCTCCACCCCTTCTCCACCTGGGTGTCTCTCAGACCCAGAAAATGGTGCCATTGGCCCACTGGGGACAGGTGCAGTCTTTTGGGATAAAATGGCTAGATGAGTATGGACAGGGAGGCAGGGCAGATACAGTCCTTGCTTCCGGTTTTAGAGTTCTTCTAAACCACAATCAACTTCTCCAAACACCCACCTTTGTCTTCTACCACAATAGGGGTCAGATCTATTGCTGACTTTTCCTCCACCTTCTCTACATCAGCAGCACCTAGGGGAAGAAATGTTATTGAAAATATACCTAAAGGAAGAACATTCTCCTCTGTTACACAGTATTATCCAACTGGATAGACCTACATCTAAATGTCTGCGATTACAGTAATGTCAGCTGGGCACAGTGGCTCATGCCTGTAATCCCAGCATTTTGGGAGACAGTAGCGGGCAGATCACTTGAGGTCAGGAGTTCAAGACCAGCATGGCCAACATGGGAAAACCCAATCTCTATTAAAAATACAAAAATTAGCCAGGTGTGGTGGCTCATGCCTGTAATCCCAGCACTTTGGGAGGCCAAGGTGGGTGGATCACCTGAGGTCAAGAGTTAGAAACCAGCCTGGCCAACATGGTGAAACCCCGTCTCTACTAAAAATACAAAAATTAGCCAGGCATGGGTGCTCACGCTCTGTAATCCTAACACTTTGGGAGCGCCGAGTCTGCGTGGATCTCGAGGTCCAGGAGTTTGTCGTACCAGCCCCTGGCTGACATGGTAAAACCTCCGTCTCACTAAAAATACAAAAAATTTCCAGGCATGGTGGTGCGGTGCTGTAATCCCAAGCTGCTCAGGAGGCTGAGCAGGAGAATTGTTTTGAACCCAGAGGTGGGAGGTTCAAGTGAGTCCGAGATCATACCACTGCACTAGCACATCAGCCGGGCGACAGAGCAAGACTTCCACCTCAAAAAAAAAAAAAAAAAACAAAGCCGGGCCATGGTAACTATCAGAGACTGAGGCAGGAGAACATCGCTTGAACCCATTGAAGGTGGAGGTTGCAGTGAGCCAGATACTCCGTGCCAACCTCGCACTCCTGCCGTGGTGTGAGCAGAGGTGAGAGCACCATCCTCAAATAAATTAAATTACAACTAAATAGTTAGGCTGGGCATCGGTGTGATGCCTCTGTAATTCCCAGTTACTCGGCAAGGCTGAGGCATGGAGAAACCGCTCTGAACCCGGGGGTGCAAGTTGCAGGAGGCAGAGATGTGCCACTAGCACTCTCCGGCTGGCGGTGAGCAGAGTGAGACTCCATTCTCAAAAAAAAAAATAAAAAAAAAATAAAGTCATAAGAGATAGGAAAACCTGCCACCTAAAATCAAGGGTGCAGGATTCTTCAGTGTATCGCTTCCTCCTGATCTCTCTACAGCCCCAGTGAAAATTCATGAGTGACCATGGTTCACACAGGGATCTGTAGTGCTTAAAAATATGGACACCAGCCAGGCACAGTAGCTCACGCCTATAATCCCAGCACTTTGAGAGGGCAAGACAGGTGGATCACATGAGGTCAGGAGTTCGAGACCAGCCTGACCAATATGGAGAAACCTCCTCTATTAAAAAATACAAAATTAGGCCGGGCGCGGTGGCTCAAGCCTGTAATCCCAGCACTTTGGGAGGCCGAGACGGGCGGATCACGAGGTCAGGAGATCGAGACCATCCTGGCTGACACGGTGAAACCCCGTCTCTACTAAAAAATACAAAAAACTAGCCGGGCGAGGTGGCGGGCGCCTGTAGTCCCAGCTACTCAGGAGGCTGAGGCAGGAGAATGGCGTGAACCCGGGAGGCGGAGCTTGCAGTGAGCTGAGATCCGGCCACTGCACTCCAGCCTGGGCGGCAGAGCGAGACTCCGTCTCAAAAAAAAAAAAATAAATAAATAAAAAAAAAAATAAAAAATACAAAATTAGCTAGGCATGGTGGCACATGCCTGTAATCCCAGCTACTCAGGAGGTTGAGGCAGGAGAATCGCTTGAACTCAGGAGGCGGAGGTTGCAGTGAGCCGAGATCGCGCCATTACACTCCAGCCTGGGCAACAAGAGTGAAACTCCTTTTTTTAAAAAAAGAAAAAAAAAAGGCCAGGCACAGTGGCTCATGCCTGTAATCCTAACAATTTGGGAGGCCAAGGCGGGCGGATCACAAGGCCAGGAGATTGAGACCAGCCTGGCCAACATGGTGAAACCCTGTCTCTACTAAAAACACAAAAATTATCTGGGCATGATGGCAGATGCCTGTAATCCCAGCTACTCGGGAAGCTGAGGCAGGAGAACCGCTTGAACCTGGGAGGTGGAGGTTGCAGTAAGCCAAGATGGCGCCACAGCACGCCAGCCTGGCAAGAGTGCGAGACTGTCTCAAAAAAAAAAAACGTGGATACCTTTACCTTTGGGCTCTGTCTCCATAGGTTCCTCTGTTCTCTCCTTCACCTCTGACTTTTCCACTTTCTCCTCTCCCTCAGGGGGTTCAGCAACGACCTTTTCATCCTCTGAGGCAGGGGCAGGGGGCTGTGTACACTTCAAAGGAAAAAAAAACAAAAACAAAACAGATGAAGCAGACAGGCCAGCAACTACAAGGAAGACTGGACTTATACATTTGTCTTTAGTGTGGCATTCAGTCACCCCCATCTCTTACCTCAATGGCAGTCTCAGGGGCTACAGATTTAACCTCCTTTTCTCCTTCCATGCTCTCTTCTTCTTTGAGGCTATTTTCCTCTATTTTGATCCCATCTTCTGCAGAACAATAAGAGACAATCAATTAGGAAGAAGGTCCTACATCAGAGAGAAGGTCATTTCTTCCCAGTTTGTCTCATCTTAAATTGTCCTCTCGTGCCTTTAAGAGCCAGCCCCATTCTTAGGACGGCCCTCCTAAACTGAGAGGGAAATTGCTGTGTGTCCTGCCAGACTACCCTGTTAGAACTGAGCACAGGGGAGCAGAAAAATAGGCCAGGACAAAAAGAGAGGGACAGAAAATGATAGGACAGGCAGACTTACCAGCAGGTGGGGCAGGTGCAGGAGTGTTGGGCTGCGTATCCCCTGGAGTGGAGGGTGTAGGAGTCTTTGGGGAGGGTGACCCTGGCTGGGACATTTTCTTGTTTTCCTCTACCTCAGCCAGTTCAGGCATGCTCCAGCGCCCATTAACATGTTCAAACTCCTGAACCTGTAGCAATGGGACAAGAAATTGAAGACCCAATTCCAGCTGCAGGCTCCCTTCCTATTGGCCCTCCAGTCTCCGCCTCCTGGGTTCAAGCAATTCTCCTGCCTCAGCCTCCTGAGTAGCTGGGATTACAGGTGCCCACCACCACACGCAGCTAATTTTTGTATTTTTAGTAGAGACGGGGTTTCGCCATGTTGGCCAGGCTGGTCTCAAACTCCTGACCTCAAGTGATCCGCCCGCCTCGGCCTCCCAAAGTGCTGGGATTACAGGTGTGAGCCACTGCGCCTGGCCCCCTAGAAACTTTTAACAATGGCAAGTGGCTCAGGGCTCACCTTCTTGCGAATCAAAGACATAACACCAATTCTAGTAAGGACATGCTGGCGAGACAGGCCTTCTCGAGGGACACCATCAGCAAAGGTCTCAGCCCCATCTGCCCCCGGCTCACATAAATGCCGCATAAAGAGAGAGACATATGCCCTGTGTAAAGAAGTAGAGAAATGAGTTAAACAGGGATCATGCTGACTCTTAAGATTCTTTTTCCATCCCTTCGTGAGGCATTATCACAGGCAATAACTATGGCTCCACCTTGAGGTAAAGCCCACCACTGCACTGGAAGGCTGATCTCCAGACCCCACAAGACGACCCAGGTTCTCTTCCAGGGAAGCTAGGAACACATTACTAACAGCTTCACCTGCCAACTTCAACAGAGGAAACAGCCCACCTCCCTGCACGGCTGGGCCTAGAACCATGGAATGACCAGCTAGATAGCAGAAGCAGCCCTTGCTCTAGATCAGTCCACGCCAGCCCTCAACTCACTTGAACTCTTTCTCTGATTTGCCTCGCAGATCTCTTACAAGCCACTGGGTAGTAAAAGCATCCTGAGGTGGCATACCATATCGCATAATTGCGTTAAGAAAGGCTTTTCGCTGACGAGCATTAAAACCAAGTACCTAGGGGAAGAAGAAACCCAGGTGAGAGGGAGCAGGTCGCACTCCACCAAAGATCCAATATCTGGCACTCACCCACCCTTAGAATCCCATGGCACTTACTTCAATATTCCCACCGACACGGGCCAACAGAGGAGGCAATGGCTTATCTTTATCATTCCGCAGGCCCTTACGACTGGGCCTACGGGGAGCTGCAGGAAGAAAAAGATGAATGAGTGACACAGGTAGGATATGAAACAAAGCAATATTTAGAAAAGCAACAAAAAAGCACAGCCCTCACCTTCTGAACGTTCATCAAAGTCTTCATCACCTTCCTCTGAAGCCACTGAGTAATCGGACTGGTTGTCGGACTGGTCGTCCTGCCAATCTGGAGGGAGAGAGGGCAGATGAGCGGGGCCCACTGCTCTAGTGGAACGGCCCATGGGTGGGGGGCGGGGCCGGCCACACACACCTCGGTCCTCCTGGGAGCCATCATTGTAGTTGACCTGTTTACGGATTCTTTTTCCTTTACCCAGATTTCGGGCTAGATCTTCTTGCTGCTGCTCATAATGGTGCCGCAGCAATTTCTCCCAGTAGTCAGGATCCACACTTTCTTCCTGTTTAATGATTTCCCGTTCTACCTCCTCTTCCTCCTGGGACAGAGGGAGGGCCAGGACTCAGGAGTGCTGAAGTCAGCACCACCAGCTACCCCTGGTCCTCATAGTTCCCACTCTGCTAGCTCCTTTTCATGACTGGACTCTTAAATAGTTGGTGTGCCTGTTTGGACCTACGAACTTAGAAGAAATTTAATTGAGAGTACATAGCTCCTCATAATTATGTATACATTAGCAGTCAGCATAACTCAAGAAAAACATGGGATAGAGCCATTATCACAGGGAAAGATGAAGAGACAGAATGCTTTCTTCTAACCCCTTGCACTGGTGCATATACAATCGGAAGATAGCAAAAAGAAAAGAGGTCAGAGCCTTAGCAAGGCAGAATGGAGAAGCTTCTGAAATACTGTAAAAGATTTTCATAAGAGAGAAGAAAAGAGGTCTATAAGCCTTTCTGTTCTTCATAAACTTCATAAAAGCTTACCAACTGTCTGCAAAGCGAAAAGAATTATATATAGCTTCTTATATCCCAAAAATGTTGATACTCCTCTAAAAGTGAATTTTTTTCAGACACTTCAGGATCACTCACTGATTCCATATCCCTTATACTGGAATTAAACCGCTGCTAATAGCATAACATTAGAAACAACCTAAATGTCCATCATTATGGAACTAGTTAAATAAATTACAATCAGCCCTCTGTATCCATGGGTTCTGCACCTGTGGATTCAAACCACCAGAGATGGAAAATATTCAGAGAAAAAACAAAATTGTCTGTACTCAACATGTACAGACTTTTTTCTTGTTATTATTCCCTAACCAATGTCGCATTTACATCGCATTGGTATTACTTTTGTGTTTAAAAGGAAAAAAAAGTTTTTGGGTACATGTATGTGGGTGTACATATACATGTATGAATATATGTATAATTTGTATACACATAAAATATTTTTGTAAAGATATAAAAGGAACTGAAAACATTAGCTGTCCCCAAGAAGGGAACTAAATTGTTAGAGGACAGAGGAGAAAAGAGATACGTGTGTGTACATATAAATATATATATGTATTTTTTTTTTTTTTGGGGGAGAGGGTCTAGCTGTGTTGTCTAGGCTAGAGTACAGTGGCATCATTATGGCTCACTGCAGCCTCAACCACCAGGTTTAAGCGATCCTCCCACACAGCTAGAACCACAGCATGAGCAACCACACTCAGCTAATGTTTTTATTACTTAGAGACGGAATTTCACCATGTTGCCCAAGTTGGTCTCCAACTCCTGGGCTCAAGCGGCCCTCCCGCCTCAGCCTCCCAAAGTACTGGGATTCTAGGCATGAGCCACCGCATCTTGCCCTTTCCTGTATTTTGAGCTATGTAAATTACTATCAAAAATAAAAGTTAAAAAATTTTTAAAAGAAGTCAACAGCAGCTGTAGTCACTAATCAAAGAACAATGTGTATACTTGTGTAGTCACCAACAAGGATGATCCACTTATCATGTGCTCTCCCTCCTGTCAATCACTCCTATTACATTCACTGCCACTGAAAGGAATGTGAGCATTCTATTAGTAGGGTCGTTTCTGATTGAACACTATAGTATGCAGACCTATGTCAGACCATTCAGCCACACTTACATATAAACTGAGGTTGGACATATTACCTTCAAGAACAAAATCACAGGTAAGTATCAGGGAAACACAGCAAGGGGGATGGTTCGGAGGTGGGAGAATGAGAAAAGATGACAAAGACCACCAGAACCAACGCCAATTCAAAGAATCCTGAGCTGAGTGGTTTACAGAAGACCAGAAGAAAAAGGAAATTTTATTTTTCCATTTCATACTCCTCTACATCATTTGGGAGAGAAAAACATTATAACAAGCCACACATTCCTCACATACTATTTTCTTTTTTTACTATAAAAGACCAAGAAAGAGAAGGGAGGAGAATAAAAAGGTATAGACCGATTCTAATTTTTTTTTTTTTTTTTCCCAGCACTTTGGAGGCCGAGGCAGATGGGTCATGAGGTCAGGAGATCGAGACCATCCTGACTAACCACGTGAAACCCATCTCTACTAAAAATACAAAAAATTAGCTGGGCGTGGTGGCACATGCTTGTAGTCCCAGCTATTCGGGAGGCTGAGGAAGGAGAATTGAACCCAGGAGGCAGAGGTTGCAGTGAGCCAAGATCACGCCACTGCTCTCCAGCCTGGGCGAGAGAGCAAGACTCTGTCTCAAAAAAAAAAAAGAAAAAACACACACAAAGGAGGCCGGGCGCGGTGGCTCATGCCTATAATCCCACCACTTTGGGAGGGGCCGAGGCAGGCGGATCACTTGAGGTCAGGAGTTCTAGAATACCCACCCGCACACATGGTAAAACCCCGTTTCTACTAAAACTATAAAAAAATTAGCCGGGCATGATGGTGCGTACCTGTAATTCAAGCTACCTGGGAGGCTGAGGCAGGAGAATGCTTGAACCCAGAAGTGGAGGTTGCAGTGGGCTGTGATCCCACCACTGCACTCCAGCCTGGGCAAACAGAGCAAGACTCTGTCTCAAAAAAAACATACGAAAGCGCCGGGGCAGTGGCTCACGCCTGTAACCCCTGTAATCCAAGGCGGGTGGATCACAAGGTCAGGAAATCAAGACCATCCCTGGCTAACACGGTGAAACCTCGTCTCTAATAAAAACACAAAGAAATTAGACAGGTGTGGTGGCAGGCGCCTGTAGTCCAGCTACTCGGGAGGCTCAGGCAGGAGAATTGCTTGAACCCGGGAGGCGGAGCTTGCAGTGGGCTGAGATCGCACCACTGCACTCCAACCTGGGGGGAGAGAGTGGGGACTCCATCTCA